CTCGGTTGGTACGATAGGAGAGTACTGACGCAAGTGGTGCAGCTGGTCCAGCAGCTCCGCCAGAAGGGCTGGTTTGCTCACCCCAGGACTAAGCCTTGGAGAGGGGACGGACCCGTCCTCTCTTTAAGGCTTAGTTCTGAGGTAAGCACCAAATTGTGGCGGTTCTAAGGACCGAGTTGAAGTGTCCGTCCACCGTCGGGGACTCCATCCCCTCCCCAACATTCAGCATACGGTCCCAGCCGACGTGCCAGACCTGCCTCATTCTGAAGGTGATACCACTCCAGTGCTTTATGACATCGACACTACCTATATTATTGACGGTGCCCGCTCCCCGCTTTAGGTTATTCAGTAATGAAAACAAATTTTATTACCTGTACCGAGGCGCCTGCATTCTATGCAATGTGCAAGGGTGAAAGAGGAAAGCCGACCAGCAATGAAGTCGGTCGCAAGTCGCAATGAAGTTGCAATAAGGGGGTAGTCAAAGAGTTTTCTTTCCGTTGGCATCGTTACTAGAGGCTCCTAAGCCTGAATTTCATTCAGCGGTGCCGCTTCCGGTCCGTGTTTGTGATGTTTCGGTCCGCCATCGACCCGAATGAACCTGGAATCCATATTGATGTTTTCGAGTTAGAATATAAATATAAAAAATAAATTTGGGGAAAAACACCACAACGGACCTGTAGTATAAAGTGAAGGCGATTGTGACGACAAGAATCAGCACGCAGACGAATAAGATGAAGATCAGTGCATTAAGAAACTTAATAAATATTTTATACTCAAATTCTTATTTTCTTATTCAACAAGAATCCCGCTATTGCCTTGGCGGCTATGGCCACGTAATAACTTCGTCGTGTTTCGCCGTACTTGCCAGTTAATGGATTAGGCAGTAGAAAACCTGGTCGTGTTCTGCCGTACTGCCAGTAATGGGATGGAGGCCCAGTGGATAACCTTGTCGTTTGTTCGCCGTTCTTGCATCAGTTATACGATTTAAAGGACGAATTCACGATGAAAAAGCAACCCATTTCAAATTAACCTAGGGATGGTGAGTGGTACACGAAAGAAGGAAGAACCATGAGAAACGGCCCAGAACCCGAGAAATGGTACCCCTTCCTTGCCCGTTGATTCGAGCATTGATGCGACTCTCATCGCTGTGCCCTCTTCAACACTACGCTCTCTCAGCTATCTAATCACTCGCCACGTATTGAACTACGGCGAGTGATCAGATGATCGGTGGGCGGAGATCGCCGGACCCGCCAGCTTTGAGGCATGATAGGTCGCCGAGGTCAAATTTTTCCATGCGAATTGCGCGTCAGTTCGCACCCTCAGGAGGTCCGTGGGTCCCTCAACTAGGTCAGTTTCCCTTTCTTCGACCTTCATTCTAATCGTGAAATTCCTCCTTTAAACATATCCTTCTCAGATTCCGTTCTAAATAAACAAGTTTCATGAAACTTAGCAACAAAAAATACAAACTGACCTCATCCGGATTGTGATCGCGGGAATATTTTCGTCGTTGACGTGGCGTAGTAAATGATGGCCTATAATCCAAAAATTAAGCTTTTTAATATGAATATCTTGTCCCCTTATGCAATTCTTTCCTTCCCTCAATAATTATTTAATAGTTAGAAAGAACGCATTTTACTTACATAACAGTTGACTCTGTAGCTGAAAGTAAGGGATTCGGTCAGTTATGAGCGTTGTCGAGTCGTTGGTAGAAGGCGTCACTGGTTTTGGTGTCAGCAACTTTTGAGGATGGGAAAGGCTCGTCCCTGATGATGTTTTTTCCGACGAGTCTGATAACATCCCTACAGAGGAAGACGTGACGAAAACTTGGTTTCATGCCTCGGTCTAAGTGGGAAATCTGTTCCTTCATAGGAGTGTAGATCGGACCACTTTTCTTGTGTTGAGTAGTCGAGTCGTCCGCTTGCTACGGTTGCGTAGTTGTGCTTGTTCCCTGCTTTGCAGCCGATGTAGAGTCAAAATAAATCGTTTCTTCCTGCAAATGCTCCTGATTTTCTTCGAAGAACAAAAAAAATCACGTTTCTTCTGTGAAGGCATTAATAAATTCCTAGTATGGTGCATCCCAGAGCCTGGTTACATAACCTGTATTTTAATAATAGATAGAGAACTACTTCAGGATCGAAAACCGTGTATAGTACATCTGATGCGCACTCCTCGCTGCCCTTTGTTTGTAACCGCTCATCGACCACATGTTGGGTGGTCGTGTAGCTCAAATACAGCCCAGACGGGTATCTTCCTCATCAACACCGACGAGGTTGGTCGCTACATTCAATCACCTCTCAATGTGCTTTATTCAATGAACAGCTAAAACCAGGAACACATCTACAAAGGAACTAAAATATTGTTCCGTGGCAAGACTAGAAGTCTGCCACAGATTTTGGTGCACCGGCTGAGAATCGAGCCCGGGCCGCCCGCGCGGCAGGCGAGCATCCACCTACTTAACCACCGACGACTTTATACGAGCGCGCGTAGAAACTTCTTCCAACGATCGCAAATCAAGCAGTAATTGATAATTTATATGATCTTACGCTAAACTTTGAAATTTTGTTGCTAGCTGGCGTGGGGAGTGGTTTCGGCCGCCGAAACTTTAGGGCGGGCAGGGGGCGACCCTTTGTTTGTAACCGTTCATCGTTACGACCACCCACATGTGAGCCACATGTTTAGTGGTCGTGCAGCTCATGTACAACCCAGACGGGTATCTTCCTCATCAATACCGACAAGGCTGATCGGTACATTCAATTACATCCCAATTGTACCCTTAAATTGAGAAACATGCAACCGCTGACATCTACGAAGCGGAATTCACATTGCCGCGGAAGACCAAATAGTCTGGCCACAGACATGCTCCTTTATTCGCGAGCATTCAAGAGCTGAGGAGGCCACAAGGAAGCAATAGCTCGAAGGCCGATACGATGACACAAGATGAAATAACCTTACAATGTGACGCATAACAACAGCTAAATGCTGGACAATGCACATTTTTTATCGAGACATTACTTGGCCTTCTTGATTGAGGCTGCTGGCCATGCATCGGTAGAGTAGCATGCGCACGTGAGATAGAAAGCGTGCCATGGTCATAAACATTTCTTGCACTTTTTTTTCCTATGCAAACGTTATCTCACTTAGCAACAACACGTCTCTCGTCTCTCTGAGTGTGATCGCATCTTTATAGGTCCAATTTCAAAACAAGAAGGGCTTATCGATGCTATGTTGCGTTTCTTGACTTCATGGAGCGGGTGACTGACAATCGTGGAGAAAGAATGCTATGCAAAAAAGCTTGTTTACGAAAAGAAGTTTCACCTCATACTGTGTACCATTCCGCCTTCTTTCGATATTCGTCACGAACTCGATCCATTGTGTGGTTTCGACTGTTTCCTTTTGACAGATCGAATCTGAGCAGACATATTTTTTTATTCTGTTCGCAGAATATTAATATTTCAAACTTCTCATTATACTACAAGTGAAAGTGTAATTGAGGAGGCAGAATACTTCGTCAAAAAAGTGCCATCATGGATAGAAAGATTTATAAAGGAAAAAAAACCATTCATGATGTAACTTGATCTGAGCAGAAATGTCCTACCGTTCGATGGCAACGTTGAGACGATTGGAACCTTTCCGAATGTGGGTAAAAAGCAGGTAACCATTTCTATGTCTTCCACCTGAAAACAAAATAAGCTGTCATCGTACAAAACGTGGTCGGCCTTCAGTAGATTTTCAACCCATCTTCCTCACTACATCGACAATGGTATGGAACGCAACCACTCGAAATGGGTTTATGATCTAATATCACATAGATCTTGGAATCTCCTGATGGATAAGGCGCACAGAACTATCCAGAAATGACCACAAGCAAATCTACGAAGCTAAATAGGAGAAGAAGAACAGTGCGTGAGGAGCACAAGGGACACGCGCTGTGAAGGTATGTAGGCCCACTGAAAATGGGCAGAGCGTGCGTTGGGTGGCCGAGTTTTCTTAAAAATTTCGTATATATTATACATGAGTGCTTATCTGTCATAGAAAGATCTGAGATATACATAGGCTAACGATGGAGGAGAGGCCAAGGGCTAACGGTGAGCGTGGCGTACACTATAGTGGGCGGGATTCGCCACGAACGTTATAATGTGGTTCCGGCCCCGGCCGACGACCGAAAAAAGATAGGGACTGGGGTAAGTCGCCGCGTCCATATTGTAAAGAGAGCGTGGTGGGAAAACGATAGCGTATGGATCAAACGTGTGAAGAGATCTGTTGTGTATCTTATTTTCAAGTATGATTTCATGATGTTGTATAAACTAAGGTGAGCGGAACTAAAATCGGAAATTCTTAATGAGGCTATAAGAGAAAAATGCTGAAAAAATGAAAACGTTGGAGCTGGCATTAGATTCTTGAAAAGAGAATTAGCTGAAAGTCAGCAGTTGTTTGGGGGAACAATTATAATCTGTTTTGAATCTCATGAAAATGGGATTTCACGGAATTGGGGAGATCCTGTGAATTTTCAAAAATTCTATGGGAAAGCGAAGTGGAATGGGATGGAGGTAGGACCTGTATAAGTGGTCAGAGGGTAGGATTTCAGCTGGGAATTGACTGGAATTTCTTCGAAACGTGGACCAACTGACATTCATTCAAGAATTCAAAGATTTTTCAAGCCATAGAATCATTCAGGTAGGCTTACTACATACAGTATACTCACGTTATACCTTACCAAATCCCTTCACTTACTTTACTTTTGAAAACGGCGTTTTTGTCGTTAAGGGAGACATTCAGTGAGGGAACCACTTACAGTACATGAGACTAATGGTAAGCCCAAGAGAGGGGAGGGAGGCTGGGGAACGATGTGAGCAATTTTAGCGTTCATAGCCTATTCTGGACTTACTATGTCCTTGTACCACCTAACATCGACCCTATTTTTTGATTCCCCCCTTTCTCACCGAGGCCATGAGCGCCGAATAAAAGCCGGCTGAAGCGGAACTCAAAAGTAATCAAACCGGTGTCATCAGTCAAGAATGGTTCTGAAATTTCAATAGTGCTCTGGAAATATCGGTAGAAATAGATATCACGAACCTTGTCCCGATTCTTCTTCTCACGAAGCCACAGCTGAAGTGGACTGGGTGTTTCGCAGTCGCACGAGAAACTGCTCGTATTACCTCCTAGGGAAACACGCTTCACTGTATTGAGCACCTGGAAATGATCCATGAAAATTGTTTTTGTATAAAGGATTAAGAAGAATGAAGAAGATGGAGTGGTAGAAAGTGACATTACTACC